TCAAGCAATATCTCAGAAATACAGGTATTAACTTCCAGTCCAATAAAACTAAATCATTCACGGAAGTTTTAGGCACATAAACTACTCAATTATTATTACAAACAACATCCTTGTTAAAATCGTCTCACCTGAAATCAACAAGAGACGTCAAAGCGTCTAATCTTTTACTTGGGTAACATGGCGAACAGCTCAAACAATCAGCCAATCAGCGGCTAGCATTTCAGCATGCGGCCTTATGAGAGATGCTGACAAGAGTAGTCTCCCTTACACAATGGTTGTCCAAGGTCCTCACAGTGATATAGTCCAGTTCCTTATGTACTTTTGTTGAAAAAAATTGGAGATTAGCAAAACTATACATATTCTGAAAGCTTTCAATGTACAGATGAAGAAAACCAATGTTTCCAAATTTTCCCATCATTCATTTGGCGGCCATCTTGGATTTCAAGATGGCGGCCATTTTTACCCATATTTGTCAAGTCTAAGGCTTTTGAGGTGTTTATTTTGTCATTTAATTGTTTATATGTGATATTATGCTTACTCATATGTAATTTAGACATGCTTAAAGTAATGATTTCACATTCTTAACAAAAAACTACCTCAACTTTTCTAATTTCTTAGTTGGATTTTGCAATATTATCAGTAGTGTGGATAGAATCCTATACGTTACAACTGTCTATCACAAAGTAAAATTGTTAAAGAATATATTGTACCTTAATTATCATATGACCCCTTAAAAACTGTCATTTATCCAATAATTACCTATGGTTATATGTTTCTCCAGCAACTCAGCAACATAAGAGCCATCTGTATCAATGCCTTGGCATTTAAATTTTCAAAATGTCACACAGAATTGTCATAGTCACTTTACACCAAAATAGGTCCCTTGAAGTCTTGAATAATAAAGTCACAATTCTTGATATGTGTCTTGATATCATATTCACAGAGAGTCATCAAACATGTCATTGCTGTCATCACCATCATTAGTTGACATATTTGTGTCATCGTCGTTCTCACACACTGAGGTGCAGAGGCAGAGTTCTGTACATGACAAGTTGTTTGATCGACATGTACATCTTTGGGTCAAACAGTCTTTCCTACACTGACACCTCACCATCTCAATAATAGCTTTGGGGGCTGGGAGAACATCCATTGTTGTTGGTTGGATCCGGTTATCTTTGTCCTTATGGAATCCATGTTGAAGTGGATCTAATTGGATCTGATGGGCGATATTGGCTTGACCCCACACATAAGCTTGAATATGAACCCTCAGAATGTGCTGCTTTAGAGCACCCAGTGTTGGTGGTAGCTTGTCACTCTCTGCCATATGTTTGCAGAAGAGATACCATCTGAGCTCTGGAATATCTGTCACAGAGAGGCCTTTTGGACAGTAAACACTGCATACAAATCTGGCGAATGTCGAAATTATTTGGTCACAGAGTTCATCACTTGTAGTCAGCACAAGGAAAGCATTAACAATATCATCATCCGTTTTCAAGTATTTCTGAAACCATGTTGCTTTTCCTACTCGGGAAAATCTGCCTGTATTGTCAGCTCCTGTGAAGGCATGGAAGGCTGGCAAAGCTGATGATTTCTTCACACCTAGGGCTGTCCAAAGAGGCTTTATTGGAAGAACATTTGAGGCCATTGAGAGTGTGGTGTTTTCCAGGAGACTGCTGTAATTTGCAATGGTCAAAACAAGGACATCAGTGTCAGGAGAGAAGATTGTCAACTGCGAGTTCCTTGGATTGCGCTGTGAAGCTGAAATAGCAAGATATATCATGAGTGTGTCAGCTTCTTCATGATTGTTAGCTTCAAACTCCAAGTCTCTGTTGCTCCTGGTACAGCCGGATGCAGATGCAATAACGGTTTGAGACGAATCAGCATTATACTCCAGTGTCTTTTCTGCCAGGTAGTCTGTCAGATCAGCTTTTGTTTGGTCATGAGACAGAAAACGATTTAACATGATGTGCTTGATTCTGGTGTCATCTCTAATTTGGTACTGAATAGGATCTCTTCCTTGGCGTCTCTTTTCTCTTGTTGCAGATTTGAGGGAATCTTGCTTGTATGTGTCAAAAGCAAGTATGACCTCATCAAACCCTCTTGCCAGGTTCATCACTCTGTCATTGAAGCACTGACTGAGATCTTCAACTGTTTCCACTGTATTTGGTAACTTTGTCATCTTCTGAAGTACAACCATCCCATCTATAACAGCAATTTTTCTTGGGATGTTGTTGAAGGTTTGATTTTGTTCTGTGTCACTGTCATCAACTGTGTTCTCTGGCTGACTTGCTTCATAGTTCATTGCTTCTTCATTTACAAACTTTGTAAGACTGGTGATCAACTTGGACTTGTCAGTGCATGGTAACAGCAATCCACTTGGTGAAAACAGTGACCTTGGAGTCAGCGTGAACTCAAAGTTACCAATTGCCTGTTTCAAGTCAATGTCTCTACTTGATCTGGCAAGAACCATCAGCCTTCCATACAAATCTTTTGTTTCTCTGAGATCCACATTCTTATCTCGGAGACGAACTGTTTGCTTTTGGCATCCTGACATGTACATCTTGTTGTTTTCCCTCTTCACTGGTGCCCAAAGACTCACTGGCCCGTTGATTCGTTGAGACACGTACTCTTCATAGAGCTTCTTTCCTGTTTCATCAATGTGTAGGATCTGAGACACAAACTCTTCAGGGACATAGGCATGCGTCATTATATTTTATTCAAGTAACTGCAAAAGGAAAGCATTTTCATTCTTTCTGACAGGCGGAACAATGGAGGTTTCTCAAAGCACACGAGGAATTCACACAAGCCTTCTATAAACATCTTCGGATAAGGTGTCACTTTACATAAATTCATACAGCAATATCATGAAATTCTTCACAACAAAAGGTGATGTGAGGTGAAATGTGGTTTAACGTAGAGTTCAAGATTATTGCGCATATGTGTGTTTGCTTGTATTAGTCTAGACTGAAGCTGGTTTCATAGCGCTAGTCCACAGAGGTACCATGCCACAGAATAACATGAATAGTCCTTGTTTTATCACCTTATTGATAAATGCCAGGCAAAGTAACAACAAATCTCATCTTGTAACATCTTTCGGCATGACGCGTCTGGGATCGCAACACTGACCTTCCACTCTCCATGCAGATGCACTATCCATCAGTCCACAAAGGCGATCCCAATAAAAAAAGCACATCAACCATTTTATCATTTATTTCAGTAAATGGTTACATCTGATTATCTGTTGTCTCTTTTGTCTTTCTCTAGACTTAATCATTTTTGCAGTATTTCATGCCTATTATCACAGCCATGTTAATACAATGACAAGTTTAGTTTGTTTGTTTGTTGTCCAACGCCGCACTCAGCAATATTTCAGCTTTATGACGGCAGTCTGTAAATAATCCAGTCTGGACCACACAATCTAGTGATTGACATCTTGAGCAATTTGGACCCAATGACATGCATCAACCACGTCAGCGAGCCTGACCACCCGATCTCGTTAATCGCCTCTTATGACAAACATAATCATCTTTTACAGCAAGCATCTTACAATGACAAGTAAATATATTTATTTCTTACAGCAGAAAACATATACAAGCATAAAAGCATATAAAACTCATACATGCATCCATAGAACGCAACATGGCCGAACTAGTATGTCTCGGTCCCTGAACCATATTATTTTCCTGTCAGTAAAGCCATTAGTCGTTTTATAGTATGGTCTTACATGAAGCAAGTCTATATTTTCCACTGAATCTCCAATCTCACCGGGGCTCCTTATCAATTTAAATGTAGTTTCTTTTTTCTATCAATTTCACACTTTCAGAGACTAAGCATTAGACTACCAATCAAGGGCTGTGTGGGATTAAAATGAAAGTGCAATCTAGCCGCAAAAAAATATTCTTTCATTGATTGCCAGATGACATTGAATTTCTATGTTTTTAGGAAGATGCCAAATGCACTTTCACTCCTGGGCCCCATCCCACAAAACGATCGTAAAACTAAGGTGATCGAAACTCCCATACTTTAACATAGAGCTGTGATTGCTTTTGGGGACAGAGACCATATAAGCAAAAGCAATTTATGTAAGAAAACAGAACAAAAAAACATTGCAGGACTCCTGAAACTAAAATGTCCATCTATGTATACCTATTTTCACACTTGGATACTGGATAATATACAGAAGAAACTACTTTCTTCTATAGAAGTACGAAAAGTGCTGGACGACACTTGAAAGCCACTTAGAGTATCTGTAGAGTGATTGAATTTCAAGAAAAAATCAGATCAACATATAAACTGGGTAAATTATATGAATAACTTGTGAAGATTGTCAGAGTTGATCAGTATTCCCGTAAAATCACAGATGGTTGAGGAAAGCCCTTCATGACTCCAAGAAAATTGAAAGATCTCTGAAAAGCACTTGAATTTTGTCCCCTGAAATCTACATAAATCATCATGAAGTGTATATATTCGTCAGTGATGGACACTAAAAGTTGATGTCACAAAGAAGTAATCCTAGTTGAGTGAGTGAGTTGATCAGTATTCCAGTTACCGTATTCGACATAATAAGCGCCCAGGGCGCTCTCAAAATTAGAAATAGGGGGCTCTTATTGGAATATTATTTTGGTGAAAAACAACAGAGTTGAAAGATCGTAAATTTTGTGGTTTATGCTGACAGCCTGAAATGTTTTAAAAAAAATGAGAGATATATTTTTCCAGAATTTAATTTCCCATAATTAAGGATGCATATACACGAATAAATAAGTCGTGTGTACACTGATCAATCGGAAGGGGTGCTAATTGTGATTGTTCACTAGCCAATATATTAGCAAATGTCGCCGTAGGCACTTATTAGAGCAGGACGCTTATTACATCAAATACGGTTATCACAGGTGGTCGAGGAAAGCCCTGCCTGACTCAGGGACTCAAAGCGGGATGGTGTTGACACCAAGGATCATTGTGTGTCATTTTAACTCACAATCAGCATATCCTGGCACTGTTAAGGGACACGGGGTCTGGATTAACAGTTTCACTGTTCCCTTTTCCTGTCGTATATGTGTATCATAAACTCGACTTGAAGGTCCTGACGACGCCCTCTTGGGCTACGGACATGGCTAGCGTGCCGTCCCTCTTCCAAAGTCGACCCTGGGTCATTGCCCGCCCATCTCCTGTGAAAAGTATAGTGTCAGAAGCTTATTTAAATACTGAGTGAGTGAGTGAATATTATTCCATGCTACAGTCACTTATATTCCAGCCATACCGAATTAATACAAGAACTGGACACGATGCAATAATCACTGACTAAAAATATTGCAAAGATCAATGTCATGATGTAACATAAATATTGACTGAGTGATTGAATGAATGTTGATTAATGCCACAGTCATCCACATTTCAGCGACCATGTCTACAGCAGTAACTAAAGCGATGAGCAATGATCAACACCATTGGGGTACAATGACACATAATCAACAACAGGTACGTGATCTTTTCGTCCAAAGTCAGAATTCCTTCGTTCCGATCTCCACGACCTCCCCCACCACAGCTCTGCCCTGGACCAGGTTGAGGCTTGCGTCCGCAAACCCCAGCTTTTCAGACTTTTCAGATGCCCTTGTATCACAAAGCTGCAGCTAGTCACGTGACCACCTGATCTAATTAGTTCGCCTCTCACAACAAGCAATAGAGAAATGAGAACCTATTTTTAATAAATCATAAATGCGTCTAAAATGTATCGAAATAAAAAAAAGAACCTTCAAACTGTCTTGCATCCTTGGTTATCAAGTGTATTATATCTCCATTCTGTTATCATAAATACCCGGGATCGTTCACCACCATAGCTCTTTTTCGAAAGAGCCGTCAGTCCATCCTTTGCTCCAAAGTTTAACTTAACACTGAACTGCTCAATAGGGTAACCTGTTTGGATAACTAAGTATGTATAACAATGTGCCATTCAAACAAAGCTCAGTAGAAGATATGGTAGCTATTTGAAACAGGGTACATAACAGTGGAATGGAGACCCGTGAAGATCCATGGTAGAATATAGGTCTTCAACAACCTATGCTTGCCGTAAAAGGTGCCGTAACGGGTGGTCAGGCTCGCTGACTTGGTTGATGCTTGTCATCGTATCCCAATTGCATGGATCGATGCTCATGATGTCAATCACAGGATTGTCTGGTCCAGACTCGATTATTGACAAACCGCTGCCATATCGCTGGAATATTGCTGAGTGTGGTGTTAAACAACAAAAAAACAAAAAGATATAATACTCTGGACACTCTTTGATGACTGGCTTGGCTTATATCACTGTTACTTGATCATGTGAATGTCAGGACCATATAAATATCTCTGATGCTGGACTTACCACAATGTGGACTCTCCTTCTCATAAAGCATCCACTCATCGATACGGAAGGGGTTGTGAAACCACACAGAGTGATCCAGGGACGTCACGAACATTCTCTGGCTACTGTCCTTTCCATAGACCCCAGCAGGGAGGAGAGAGACGTCCAGGATAGAGTCCGACAGATAAACAGCTACACACTCGTGCATCTTTGAGTCATCACCTGGTGACAAGACAGATACACACTCATGAGAGACACCTACACTCATGACACACAGCTACACACTCATGACAGACATCTACACACTGATGACAGACATCTACACACTCATGACACACAGCTTCACACTCATGACACACAGCTACACACTCATGACACAGCTACACACTCATGACAGACAGATGCACACTCATGACACACAGCTACACACTCATGACAGACATCTACACACTCATGACAGACATCTACACACTCATGACACACAGCTTCACACTCAGGACACACAGCTACACACTCATGACACAGCTACACACTCATGACAGACAGATGCACACTCATGACACACAGCTACACACTCATGACACACAGCTACACACTCATGACAGACAGCTGCACAATCATGACTGACACCTACACACTCATGACACACAGCTTCACACTCATGACACACAGCTACACACTCATGACAAGCAGCTACACTCATGACACACAGCTACACACTCATGACACACAGCTACACTCATGACACACAACTACACACTCATGACAGACAGCAACACACTCATGACACACAGCTTCACACTCATGACAGACAGCTGCACACTCATGACAGACAGCTACACACTCATGACACACAGCTACACACTCATGACACACAGCTGCACACTCATGACAGACAGCTACACACTCATGACACACAGCTACACACTCATGACACACAGCTGCACACTCATGACAGACAGCTACACACTCATGACACACAGCTACACACTCATGACACACAACTACACAGTCATGACACACAGCTTCACACTCATGACACACAGCTACACACTCATGACACACAGCTGCACACTCATGACACACAGCTACACACTCATGACACACAGCTACACTCATGACACACAGCTACACACTCATGACACACAGCTACACACTCATGACACACAGCTGCACACTCATGACACACAGCTACACACTCATGACACACAGCTACACTCATGACACACAACTACACACTCATGACAGACAGCAACACACTCATGACACACAGCTTCACACTCATGACAGACAGCTGCACACTCATGACAGACAGCTACACACTCATGACACACAGCTACACACTCATGACAGACAGCTACACACTCATGACACACAGCTGCACACTCATGACAGACAGCTACACACTCATGACACACAGCTACACACTCATGACATACAGCTGCACACTCATGACAGACAGCTACACACTCATGACACACAACTACACACTCATGACACACAGCTACACACTCATGACACACAGCTGCACACTCATGACACACAGCTACACACTCATGACACACAGCTACACTCATGACACACAGCTACACACTCATGACAGACAGCAACACACTCATGACACACAGCTTCACACTCATGACAGACAGCTGCACACTCATGACAGACAGCTACACACTCATGACACACAGCTGCACTCATGACACACAGCTACACACTCATGACACACAGCTACACACTCATGACACACAGTTACAAACTCATGACACACAGCTACACACTCATGACAGACAGCTACACACTCATGACTGAGAGCTGCACACTCATGACACAGCTACACACTCATGACAGACAGCTACACGCTCATGACACACAGTTACACACTCATGACACATAGCTACACACTCATGACACACAGCTACACTTATGACACAGCAACACACTCATGACACACAGCTACACACTCATGACACATAGCTACACACTCATGACACACAGCTACACACTCATGACACACAGCTACACTCATGACACAGCTACACACTCATGACACACAACTACACACTCATGACACACAGCTACATACTCATGACACAGCTACACACTCATGACACACAGCTACACACTCATGACACACAGCTACACTCATGACAGACAGCTACACACTCATGACAGACAGCTGCACACTCATGACACAGCTGCACACTCATCACACACAGCTACACACTCATGACACACAGCTACACACTCATGACACACAGCTACACAGTCATGACACACAGCTACACACTCATGACAGACAGCTGCACACTCATGACACAGCTGCACACTCATGACACACAGCTTCACACTCATGACACAGCTGCACACTCATGACACAGCTACACACTCATGACTGACAGCTACACACTCATGACACACAGCTACACACTCATGACACACAGCTACACACTCATGACACACAGCTACACACTCATGACACACAGCTACACACTCACTGCACAGAAGGAAGTACAGGTGAGGTGTTCTCAATCAGTACCTATATGTCCAAGAGCTCTGACCCAGTTGTAGGAGACAGCTTCCAGCGGTTCCTCTCTATAAGAGTACTGCTCATTCACGGGGCGGTTTTCGTATGTCACACTTTCTGTCAGTTTCTTCTTTATGTATCGTTTCCTTCTGGCTGACACACTGTCAGTCCTGTAAAACAATGTCCATTCACTGTAAACAGACCTCTATTCCTGCAGAGAAGTATACATGTAGTCTGTCATACAGACCCTGATACAAATACAACTTTATGATGTTTGGCAATTTCTAGATTACTGCAGTATCAGGAAAAGAAGAGAGTCTCTGAGCTCCTTTTTATTATATTTTTATTACGATAATTTAACAACTGTTTTTTCTTTAAGATATGTTTATTTCAGAGACTAGATGTTAGTCTAATAAACATGGAACAGGGATGGGTACGGCAGATTCCCTGACAACATACAAGTTTATCATTATCCATTGACGCTACATGTAGCTGTGTACCTGCAAACCTTAAAGAGTGCCATCAGGAAAGAAGTAACCCTTTCGGTGTCACTTTTCAAACTATTTTCATGTAAAAATTTGCTTATTTCCGACTGACAGTACCTTAACATGTCACCTTAAGAGAGACCTCAAACATTATTTCATTTTAATATCTTCCACTGACCAAAGAGCTTTGGAAAATTAATCCATATACAAGTTAAATAAATAAATAAATAAATAAATAAATAAATAAATAAATAAATCAATAAATCAATAAACAAATCAATCAATCAATAGAAAAAAGAGGTTTAACTGACTTCAGCTGCCTCTCCATGATCTCAACACTAGACAGCAGTCCCTCCGGCCCAGGCACCTTAGGCATAGAGTACTGGTGGGTATACAGGTCAGTCTCCACTCTCTTGAAGGATGCCTGCATGGTGAAGATTGGTGCTCCTTCTTGTATGGCCTTGACATTGCGGTTGCAGTATGTCCGCCCCTCACGGGTGTGGTCCACATGGTACAGGATGGGCGTGTCTGCACTTCCTAATATAGATGAACAAGCATGAAATACTCATATCCACCGCCAAGGCTAAAACAATAATAGTCTTGGTTCTCCGGCACTGCCCGCATCATCATAAAGTCTGCCGCACGTTATGTTTTTATTTCCATTTTCAAAAAAAGAATTCAAATACTACCGGGTAATACTTTAAAAAATGTGATCCAATATAGCATACAGTTACTTCCCTTTACATGCACACTGCTTAACTGTGCATCTCTGTGCATGGTCATGGCGGCAATAGGAGTTTGTATGCTTGTTTATGTAGGGAGGTCCTTTTTCAGGTTGATGGTACACAACTGTTTATTTGGTCACACACTGGTTTAAACAAGCAAAAAAAGACCCCAAAAAATACCGCCCGCCCACACTATATTTTCAAAAGTCATTGCCTGAGAACCAATTCTTTAAGTTTTTTAAGCCCAATATAAAATGTCCAGGTGTGTGCATGGCAAGAAATATTGTACGGTTTTCAAGATCTGCAAAATCCCAAACTATGAAAAGGCACCAGTTTACCACTAGACCTATCTATGTGCCAAGTTTGGTGAAGAATATTGTACACTTTTCAAGAACTGCTCAGGAAACGAACACTATGGCTTGTTGAAAAATAATTTTTCAAAAATCCCAAACTATCAAACGGCATCAGTTTACCACTAGATTTATCTATGTGCTAAGTACCGCCAAGACATCTCTCATGATCTTTTAGTTCTGCTCTGGAAACAAGACATGAGACGGATGGACAGATGGACAGCATCCATTCCTATATCCCCCTTCTACTGCATGGAGGGGGATAATAAATCACTACAGACCATTGATTAACCAATCTCATTAAAATCAGACCTTAGTCCTCACTATTGCTAAACAAAGATCTGAAGACATCCCATTAGGGGTCACGTCAGAACGACCTTTCATCCGACCAATCAAAGCGTCGTTTACCAGATCATGAAAGTGACAGTCGGAATGTGAATTCTAATCATACAACCTCGAAAAACTTTAACAAGAGTTTAGAACGATAGTTACGGGTTTACAAACTGAATCCATACAATCTAGACCATCTATTATTCATTCCAGAATGTTCTTTTGTTTAGGTTTCAAATTTGTAATCGAGAATTTGTCAAGATATGTTTCAAAGCGTAACGCCAATTTGAAATTAGTGCTGTAAAGCACGAGAAAGGCGCCTTCTGATTGGTCATTCCATTGGTCGGTCAAAGTTCGCGCAACATCGGTCTGACATGACCCGTAATGGGATGTCCTCAGATCTTTGTTTAGCGGTAGCGAGAACTAAGATCTGATTTTAATGAGATTGTTGATTAACTCAAGTCTACTTCTCTTTATTCCCATTGATTATGAAATCTTTCTCACAGCATGTTAAGTGTTGATTTGTCATGTGTCAATTCTTCATGTGTAGTATTGTGGCCTTACCATACACTTTTTATTTGTATTGTATCCCAACAAAGTGCATAGTTAAAGTCTCAGTAGAAATTAATGGAAATTTGGAAATTTTCCTACATATCAACATCCATGCAGGCTTTATATCAGGACTCGCGACTATGCTTGCCGTAAAAGGCGACTATGCTTGTCGTAAGAGGCGGCTAACGGGATTGGGTGGTCAGGCTCGCTGACTTGGTTGATGCATGTCATCGATCCCAATTGCGTGGATCGATGCTAATGATATTAATCACTGGATTGTCGGGTCCAGACTCGATTATTTACGGACCGACGTCATATAGTTGGAATATTGCTGAGTGCGACGTTAAACAACTAACCAAATCATCATCATCATCATCATCATCATCATAAGGACTCGCGACTATGCTTGTCAGAAGAGGCGGCTAACGGGATCGGGTGGTCAGGCTCGCTGACTTGGTTGATGCATGTCATCGATCCCAATTGCGTGGATCAATGCTCATGATATTAATCACTGGATTTTCTGGTCCAGACTCGATTATTTACGGACCGCCGTCATATAGCTGGAATATTGCTGAGTGCGGCGTTAAACAACCAACCAATCATAAGGACTCATGAATACTATGAGTTTCGACTTTCGGTTATTGTGAGTTGTGACCCACTTACCTCCCTTCAGGAAGTAGCAGTGTACACTATGTACATGGTGCTGGACTGGCACAGTTGTGTATGCTGCTCGCAGGGCATGAGCTACGACTTGACCTCCATACACTGACCTTGACCCAATGGGATGGAACAAATTTGCACCCCTAGAACACAAGGATATATACTTGTAAAAGATCAGGATAAGCCTAAATACTAAATTATGAAAGTGGTTCCTTAATAATCACCGTAAAGTCAAGTGACTTAAAATGAGTCTTTTCGATGTTTCTAAATGTTTCTATTTCAAACTATTTCTGGTCCATGATCAATAGTTATTAATATAGACAATTTGCATGAATGACAAGAAAAAGAACATATCTGTTTTGAAAGGGGGATATTTTGATTTAAGTAGCCTGCAACCTCGGGGTATCGCGGTACTTGTAATGTACGCTATAAGGAACAAAATGCACTCACCAACCTTTATGATTATTCGTGTTCTCTGTATCAGATATCATTCATTTTATCAAACAATGCATATTTTACTGATAAAAGTTAATTATTTACATTAGTAGCTCCGAGTAAAAGCCGGGCCTCGCGCTCTGTTTGACAAGGAGGAGAACTCCATCGTATCGCGGTACAGAGAAAAGTTGTGTATGGAGGTCCGAATTGGACAAAAAGAGGACATAATTCTACCAACCACTTGGTATGATCATGCCAGACATCAGTGATTTGTCCAGACAAGTGCAAAGACGGCACAAGTAAAATTCAAAATGTGTTATCAGCAATAGGTATTCAATGCATTTTTCCCGAAAAGTAAGAGAAAAATATTTTTATAAGTCAACAACAAAATATCAGAAATGATATTTTAAGATTGTTTAAAAAAACTTGGATGACAATGACTTGTCACAAAATGGAAAAATGTTAAATGTCAACAATAAATATATAAAAAGCACTCCTAGTATGCCCAAAGTATGTATTTATCTTTTGGTTACTAGTGAAGAACGTATTTCTAAGTTTGGCATTATGGCCCTTATGATCTCCCAATAAATTCTGGGCACAGAGCGGGAAAAAATGTGCGGACTACGTAACTTCCGTTACCTCATTAGTCGCCATGAATATGCAGATGATCTAGTTCAGGTCGATAGAGAAAGTTTACTTGGGGAACTGCGGGTTATATCGTTGGCCATTGATAGATTGGGGTAAAGCAATATTACAACAGATGCCAGAAATATGTATCAACGGATTAATAACTCCTTACTTACAGCAGACGGAACATTCTGAGGAAATTGAAATTGTTTACGAAGTGAGCACTTCCTGGTTACCGTTTTGCATTAATAGACAGCCGCTTACAGGCGTGTCCCGCGGTAACTACCAGAAATCACAAATGCCGCGATACGATGAATGCCGCGGTACCATGGGTCCGAGTATACATAATACTCTCATAAAGGCCCCTCCAAACTTTTCAACCCTGACAAAAGTAACAGTGATTGAGTATGGTTTTACACTGCTGTTAGCAATATCCCAGCAATATCACAGCGGGGGACATCAGAAATTCTCACATTGTACCCATTAGTAGAATTGAACCCGGGGCTTAGGCATGACGACCTAACGCATTAATCAAGTTAGTCACATTGAAAATAAACCAACTCGGTCAAAGTTCACCTGAGCCCTAGAACTTGAATTTTACCAACAAAACAGTTCATATGTTATAAATTCCTACATGCAACAAACCTTTCAAAACATAATCAATGACAAACAAAAGAATGTCACTGCATTTGTATAATGTGCAATGCACAGAAATCCGAGACCACATACTGCTGTGCGTCCAGTATTCAAATGCCAGGGCGGAGACTGGTCATTTTATGTCCGCTTCATACTGTACGTTCTTAGCGAAAGAATCGGACAAGTGTTCAATCTACAGGAGGGATGTTTGTCATTCGTTAGATTTAAAACACTTAGACAGGTCACCTTCATAACTGGAACTACCTGTATAGGTTCACGTCTATTTCTTCCAAATGGAGGAAAGATTCTGTTAAAATATTTTCATTACTACTCGCTTCCGAATCAGAGTCGGCCATCTTTAGACGACCTAAGAAAAGATAACTCTAAACTACGCACCTAGTTAAAGATGACACGCTTGTGCAACAACATGAAACGTCAGTGTTCAAAACCGCGGAACAAATCATTATTTTTGTTTTCAAGGAAACCAAGTATCCTGAATGAAAGTCCTGAATGACTAGTAGATACTTTGTGACATGGCGTGATGTTGGAGACATTTTATGTACAGTTATGTACGGTTATAACGAACTCAAAGGGACCACTAATTTTAGTTCGTTATAACCGTAGTTCGTTATAAGCATATATACAGCAAATGGACGGGATCAAACACATTTCGTTAGATCGGTCAGTTCGTTATAAGCGTGTTCGTTATATACGTAGTATACTGTACCACTTTTTTCATGAGACCTTCCGCTCTCAGTACAGACGCTCTATCCACTATATGATATACATCGTTAAAAATGTTAATAAAAGTTAACTCAAACATTGTATTTACACGCGGTTTCCAAAGCTACTTTTATCTGTGAAAATACGGCTAAGACATCCATTATTGTGATACATAGGTGATTACCCTCGCGTGTTTCTGTATCGTAAATAGCACACATTAGGACAAAATTTGTATTATTTGGCGAGAATAATACATATTTTATATTCCTAATATAACTATTATGTTATTTACGAAACGGAACCACACGCAGCTTATAACATGTATTTATATTATGACGTGGTGTGACATGAAATGGCAATGTGTCGGAGAGTGATTAAGGTATGTCTGGTGTGGTATTCTAAAGATCAATCAAAGCCTGAAACGGAGAACAAAATTAAGCCTTTCATAGTCAGGCTCCACAGCATTGTCAGATTTTCTGTCCAGATCAGGAAGTAAGATATAGAATTAGAACACAATAAAACGTCATTTTATAAATAAATCCAAACCATCATAAACGTCCTTATAAACATCACTCGAAAACAATGGTATTAACGAGTAAAAGTTTGAGTGAGCGAGGGACTTAGGGTCAAACGTCTATGGGACAAGGCGTGTCATCTGGATCTGGGAGGACAGCCCGAAGGGAAGCCTCAAACGTTTACTACTTTGCATTGGGGTTTCTTAGTTAGATCGACCACAATGCAAAAAGGGCCAGAGTGTCAAGAACCTATCTACATACAGAATACTAAAAGAGCTCCCGTGTAATACCAATTTTATTAAACTCGTGAAGAGTTCTGGTATCTGAATTGCCTTTGCTCGTCAAATAGCAGAACTATTTACTCGTTTCCTAAAATTGGTATTCCACGTACGGGAGCTCGTTTAGTATTTTGTTTATTTCTTGCCATTTATAACTTTTTTTTAGAATTTTACTGTCGTATAAGAATAGGCAGACACCAAAACGATCCACAACGTAATCCAATTGAGTTTCACAGAATAATACTTCAAACACGTCAAACGTTGACATATTAATTTAATACCATACAACGGCCCACCTTTAGAATTCACGCGTTCGTTCCACAAAGTTATCGTAGCGCTAAGGTTATCTTAACTCACATACTTTAACAGAAACTTACGACTGTCGTTGCGCTACAATACGATCGCCTTGTGGAACGAGACCTATGACGCGGTTTGTGGAATTGTGTTGCAAGATCCACCGGCGAAACAATGCCATGTGACGTCAGCCTAGCAGCGGGGTTGCTTGGGTCGTTGAGTGTGCATAAGCAACTCTCAGTGATTGATCATCTCCCCCCGCAATGTCGTTAATAAGCCAAGATATGCTGAGAGCTTTCAATGTTTGTTAGTGTAACTGCAGTACATAAGCACGCGCTTTGGTATTACACAATGTGTAACACAGCTGTATGTTTATTAAACAGGTGATCTCTTCACGGGCAAGTGATAAAAAGCATTGTGATGCAATTTCATTGCAGCGATATCCACAATGTTGATATTGCTTGATCTCATCCAAGCGATATCTCCTGCGGGAGCCAGTTATGGGTGGTAAAAGACTGTATTAGAAGAGGGAGGACTTAAACTATAGTCAACATTTTCGAGCAATATTACCGTAGCTCGATCCTGTGGTGTGTCCACGCTTCACAACTTTTGATAAACAATCGAGCATGTCTACAACCTGTCTATACGAAGATTTAATAGTGCGGCAAACGACTCTTGCTCAAAAGTTGTTTGATCAAGGTTCCAACATTCAAGGCACCAGTAAAGCTTTCAAAAGGTTTTAGGGTCGGTCGGGTAGCCTAGTGGTTAAAGCGTTCGCTCGTCACGCCGAAGACCCGGGTTCGATTCCCGACATGGGTAGGTACAATGTGTGAAGCCCATTTCTGGTGTCCCCCGCCGTGATATTGCTGGAATATTGTTCAAAAGCGGCGTTAAACCATACTCACTCACTCAAAAGGTTTTATGGTAGACACGTGGAGGACTTTTCCATATTTGAAGCATCAGTGACAAGAATGAACTTTAACAATATATCAGGTGAAAAATTTACTTGCCTTTGTGGGGGAGGATATGCTCACCTTTTCTCGAAAACCTAGCATCATCTCTCTTTGATAATGATTCATGCTAATGATATAGTCGAGATCGTACTATGGACCGTTTTCAGAAGAGACTTCGTTTTATGGAAATTTTTGGTATCTTATCTGACCTACAAACATATAAGTATAAAGAGGTGAGATTTCATCAGTGGATTTAACAACCAGGAAGACCTCTCCCTGAAGATAAAACTGTAATATGAAGGAGGACAATTCGTGTCGTGTGAATGTTTTGTGAATTTATATTTCTGTGAATATTTGTGAATATATATGTAATCCCAAAATTCCCCACTCCTTTCCCAAAACGTTGTTGCCGCGCTGGACGTGTTGGTGGAGGAAGAAACACGCAGTCAATTAGCTCAGAACGAAACAAGGGAACAGTTCGTCGCTTGACCTTAACATCAGACCAAGGCCTTTTCAGGACGAACATTAATATCTGAGCACGTGACCAGACACAACCGGCAGACGACAAAATGAACATCCGGTATTTGTTGTCTTCACGGGTTACCCCGATTTAACAGTTTCCTCGTTCAAAGCAAAAATGCGATAGGATGCACTCAGAATTTGAAATTGGTTTGAACTCCCGGAATGCCAGTTGTATTTACATGTAAAAAACGGATTTATTGATAGGTGGATGGTACGTGCAGTCACTCATGACACCCCCCCCCCCCCCCCCCCCCCCAGACACACACACACACACACACACACACACACACACACACACACACACACACACACACACACACACACCACACCTACCTTATCACGAACTCCGGACAACTCGATGTGTTTTGGGGGTTCCAATCACTTCGATTGATCGAGTTTTTATCGTAAACTCGATGAACCGGGAGCCATTGGGTGTATCATCCAACTCGACACAGCCAGAGAATGAAATATCAGTGCCGACATAAATTCTACCGGGACTCGAATTAAAGGATATATCGAAATATGCATATGTGATACTGCTGAACATATAGTGCCTGAGTTTGTTTGACTGTATGAGAAGACATGCATATGCATATGCACTCTCTGGTATCCTGTGGGGGCGGTCGGGTAGCCTAGTGGTTAAAGCGTTCGCTCGTCACGCCGAAGACCCGGGTTCGATTCCCGACATGGGTACAATGTGTGAAGCCCATTTCTGGTGTCCCCCGCCGTGATATTGCTGGAATATTGCTAAAAGCGGCGTAAAACTGTACTCACTCACTCTGGTATTTCGTGTATTACACCCTCTCCATGTTAATAAATACCCTTGACACATTTGCTATCATACTTTCGATCCAAATGAAGCCATCTAATGAAATCACCCTCACGAGAGTGAGAAATCCTCTACTGTGTTAAGGGTACAATCGACGGACGGGGGAAGTTACTTAACACCTGATGTCTTAACTGATTTTCACTTGTCCATTCATTGTATTTGCCTTTTACGTCTAAATTGAATCTGTTTCGGCTACAAATCGAGCCCGGTTATTTTATTCCGGCGTTGAGGCTGAATATTTCCGAGACAAAGCTAGGGTGAGAAATGGTATTTATTATTATCGAGATATAATTCCCTGGATAAACGAGGATGATATATTCCCTTTTCCATGCGTATCGGGAGGGCGACGATGAGGAAAATATAGCTCGGTCACGACGCAATGAATATGGGATTAGTATTACTTGTATTATCACATCCGGATTGGATACCCTGCTTTTCCCAGTGGCATGGTGCCCGTGTGTCCAATGCATATCTAATCATTGTTTAATGATTAAGGGAGTGAGTGAGTTGGGTTTAACGCCGCTTTTAACAGTATTCCAGTTTTATCGCGGCGTGTCAGCTCAATGTGGGAGGAAAGCTCGAAGTGATGCAGGTCTTAGACGTTTACCAGTTCAGTGAAACCCACATTATCGGGGCGAACCGGGATTCGAACCCATAATCATAGGTTTCTGTCGTGGCCAAGTTGCGCAACTCTGCACAGCGAATCACGGCGCCTTAGACGACTGGGCCACCCGTGCCCCTTTTTAATGATTTAAAGCATGATACAATGTAATATAATAACAATTTGATTTTATCATAAATGAGAAAAGTACATGGGGAATGTCTTGTACGTTCACCCTCCTGTCAGACGTTTGGGTAGACCAGTGGTTAAAGTGTTCGCTCGTCACGCCGAAGTCCCGGGTTCGATTGCCCACATGGCGTGTAGCCTATTTCTGGTATCCCGGCCCCGCCTTGAAGTTGCAAGTGTATTCAACAACGGCATAAAACAAATCTTCTTCACTCACTTCTAGCATTCGGTGCGGTTTTGATCATAACAAGTTGTCATTTTATCCAATTCATTATAATCATTGTTCTGTATGGGCGTGCGCTAGTACCCAAGGAAGCGTATCACCGTTCCTAGTTCCCACAATACAACAATGAACTGATACTGAAGTGCTAGGGTGCAATAGTCATCAAAAGCATTTCTCCTAATGATACTAATAAACTATCCACAAAGGATCCACTATATCAACTATCAAATTCCAGCTATACACAAAAGACATAAGAGATAAGCTTGATATCATGTTGATATTAAAAATCTTGTTTTTCTGACATTAATATTTAACACTTGTTTTATAATAGTGAGTGAGTGAGTGAGTTGGGTTTAACGCTGCTTTTAACATTATTCCAGTTATATCACGGCGTGTCAGCTTAATGTGGGAGGAAAGCCCGAAGTGATGCAGGTCTCAGACGTTTACCACTTCGGCGAAACCCACGAGCACGGGTATGGTGCTGACAAACCTAGAAACATAATCGGGGTGAACCGGGATTCGAACCCACAATCATAGGTTTCTGGCGTGTCCAAGGGACGCAACTCTGCACAGCGAATCGCGGCGCCTTAGACGACTGGGCCACCCGTGCCCCCCTGTTTTATAATAGCATAGTTACCTATATCATAGCATACATTTTTGTGTTAAGTCCTCTCATAATGTACAGATAAACATGGGGCGACGCTCATTAGTAGTGTAAGCCACTTTTAACCATGCACAAAATAAGTAATTTCTGACAATACCTTCGCAATCCGCAAATTCTGAGAAAAATTATGCGAAGGCTATTTTGTATCGAGCTTCATCTGCAAAAAAAGGATTTTTTTACTTAAAACTTTGAGTCTGATTTTTTTTAAACACCTTGCAACAATGTAAATTCCAAAAACCACACACGCATATATGAATGGGCGGTGCCATTTTTCAAGCCTGGCATCGACAGAATAGAAAAGATCGATAGTTTAGCAGCCTCCTATTAACATCTGGCGTTGTTCTTATAATTATCACAAGCCACTGGAATTGCAGCCATGCACCAGCGATAGAAACAGTGTTCAACATTTATGAAATACATCAGGTATAAATTGGAACATATCTATCCCTGATCTTTAATAAACCAGAGATTGAATCAAGTCTAGACTAAATATACCACACAGGCTGCTTCGGAGCAGACAAGGAAGTGAAATGCTATTTAGGTCACACTGCAGTCAGGACAGTATTTGATCGAGACCTGTGTATCTACAAGGGCCCGATTTCAAACGGGACACTGTGAGAAACTATATGCCATGTGTTAACTCCTCAATATGTATGTGTGTGTGTCACTGTCTGTCAGTCTCATTCTCAAGGATACTTGTCTTCACTAAGCGCTGCAGGTAAGTCAACACCTATTCTCGTAACACATACAAACCACCTGGTAAACAGCCCATTGCAAGGATATCTTCTTTGGCCTCCTCTATTATGAGGGTATGCACAAACCGTTATCTACACATGCAGATAGGAATAGTTTTACTGTATCAACGACACGAAATATTCACTGTTGATAAGGGTTACTGAATTCACAAGAACGGTTAACACCTCAACTGTATGAACGGAAAGTATCGGACCTTCTCGATGCCCATTTCTGACAACTTATATGTACACCCGTATTGCAATGTTCACATTTACGTTTAACTTAGATCACAGTTCATGGGTTGTATGTGAGAGCTCAGTATTGGTATTTAGTGCGGGTTGTACTGTGCTGCCGACAGTGACGTATGTATATGTATGGACACAGGGTCATAGTCGTTGGTTCGAGTCCTACATTCGCCCCGATAATAATCTTTGGTGCTTCATACCAATACTCGTGAGCTTCACCAAGCTTATATGACATACGCTGCTTTGTACTTTCAACAACTAAAGAGACGCTGAAGCCTTCTTACTCATATCGTGTTGTACATAAAGACAGCTCAACCATGTCATGTATAGAAGCTTTGTCACTTACAGCTTATTTATATCGTCAATAGTGTAAACAAGTTTATAAGACACTATTGTTGAGGGCGTTTCAAAGCACATTACATACACATTATTGGAGGAAACATGACTTCCACGTTCTACTTGAATAAATTTGCTTCCTAGTGGATATTAAACACTATATTCCCCTGATAAACGGTATTACTGTGGATTTTACATTCCATATTGAATGGCAGCTTGTCAAAGGTTCGGTACAGCAATTTTGTGTTACATTGATCAAACTTTGACGCGTTCTTAATTTATTGATAAAATCGTCATTTGACAGAACATTACGGAGTGAGTGAGTATGGTTTTACGTCGCTTTTAGCAAAATTCAAGCAATATCACGGCGGGGAACACCAGAAATGGGCTTCACACATTGTACCCATGTCGGGAATCGAACCCGGGTCTTCGGCGTGACGAGCGAACGCTTTAACCACTAGGCTACCCGACCGCCCCTGAACATTACGGAAGGTCTACTACAAGAACACATGACAACGTGCGAGAGCTGGACGTGATCCTAGCAATAGCACGTGCTAAACAAATACGTGCGATACGTAAGATATAACATTCCACTAAGGCCGAGAGGGTTAGCTGTGGATCACGTGAACAGCTGTGTCATCGTGGTGTGCACGGGACAACACAGGAGGCAGTGCAGGGGAACTATAAGTCTTGTGAATGGGGTGTGAGGAGAATTGGCTACTGATAATGGGATCATAGGGTTGAAATATTCACTGAAACAGGGTAAGTTACCCAAATTGAAAGGGGGCAGATATGGGGGCATACTTAATACGGGTAGACCAGAATACCAAGAAACGTAGAAAAGGAAGCTTGTGATCAGTGTTCAATAGTCTGATCAGTAGCTTGTGATCAGTGGTCAATAGTCTGATCAGTAGCTTATATGATCAGTGTTCAATAGTCATGATCAGTAGCTTGTGATCAGTGTTCAATAGCCTGATCAGTAGCTTGTGATCAGTGTTCAATAGTCTGATCAGTAGCTTATGATCAGTGGTCAATAGTCTGATCAGTAGCTTATGGTCAGTGGTCAATAGTCTGATCAGTAGCTTATGGTCAGTGGTCAATAGTCAAGATTAGTAGCTTGTGGTCAGTTGTCAATAGTCAAGATTAGTAATTTGTGATCAGTGGTCAATAGTCAAGATTAGTAGCTTGTGATCAGTGTTCAATAGACAAGATAAGTATCATCTGATCAGTGGTCAATAGTCTGATCAGCAGCTTATGGTCAGTGGTCAATAGTCTGATCAGTATCTTCTGCTCAGTGGTCAATAGTCTGATCAGTATATGTATGTGTGTGTGTGTGTGTGTGTGTGTGTGTGTGTGTGTGTGTGTGTGTGTGTGAATGTATGTGTGTCTGTATGTGTGTGTGTGAATGTATGTGTGTGTGAATGTATATGTGTGTGTGAGTGTGAATATGTGTGTGTGAATGTGTGTGTGTGTGTGTGTGTGTGTGTGTGTGTGTGTGTGTGTGTGTGTGTGTGTGTGTGTGTGTGTGTGTGTGTGAATACGCCTCAGTTAACAATTCCCCTTGGTTACTTGCGTTTATAGCCCTTGGCTTGACAGCTACATACTCTTGTTTGTGTGTTTCTCCACTGATTTGATTGACTTGTGTTTAATTTAATCAATATCAACCTATTCAGCACCATGCCTAGTAAACAACCTCAGATTTATTAGGTTCATCAGGACCGACAAGTAGATCACTGAGATGTAAAACAGAAGGAACGGTGGCCGTCAGGACCAAAAATACACCTACTCTGAAGTGAAATGTGGTATTTGTTTAGGTGAGGTGAAATGGGGTTCAACCTCGTAATTAATATATTGCACTTATATAGCGAAGAACATGCATACATGTGTGTGTGTGTCTTTCTACATGTCCTGTTCCGGACAAATGCCGGTTTTATAGTGCTTTCCCAGTGAGATGCCGTTCCGGGGTTAAGCATAGATACCCTACTCAGATACAGTATAATGACTTCGAACCAACCAGGCCTTATTTCCTTAATGCGGAGCGCCAGGCCCGGTAAAAACAAGTACCATCTTTTAACGTCTTTTGGAACGAGGCGTCCAGGGAGGAAACCCCAGACCTTCTGCACACCGGGCAGACACTCCAACCACTAGACCACGGAGGCGGTCATATCTTTTTCGGACATGTTTAAAACGTTATGTCACACAATAAGCAACGCTGCTTTAATAGTCGCAAACGGGATAGGGTGATAGGTGACTTGATGCATGTCATCGTTACCCCGATCCGTATATCCAAGCTCATGGTATCAATCACTGGATTGTCTTGGATCCTTGGGAATGCAGGGTAGAATAAGTCTTCAGCAACACATGCTTGCCGTACAGGCGACTATGCTAGTCGTAAGAGGCTCGCTGACTTGGTTGATGCATGTCATCGTATTGCGTGGATCGATGTCAATCACTGGATTGTCTGGTCAAGACCCAATTAATTACAGACCGCCGTCGTATAGCTGGAATATTGCTGAGTGCGGCGTAAAACAACAGACAAACAAAAGGATTGTCTGGTCCAGACTCGAATACTCACAGACCGCCGTCATATAGCTGGAATATTGCTGAGTGCGGCGTAAAACAACAGACAAAGAAACAAAAGGGTTGTCTGGTCCAGACTCGATTATTTACAGACCGCCGCCATATAGCTAGCTGGAGGTGCGGCGTAAAACAACAAACAAACAAACAAAAGGGTTGTCTGGTTCAGATTCGATTATTTACAGACCGCCGCCATATAGCTGGAATATTGCTGAGTGCGACATAAAAAAACAAACAAACAAACAAACTTGCATTGACTCTCCATCCTATCCCTGAACCTAGCTCGGAAATGTCAGAAGTAGGCCTTGTCACGTGTTGAATGAAGCCAGGAAGTCGACATCATGGGAGGGTAAATATTATTCATCACAGCATCGCATAGATGTACAGCTGACGCAGTGACTGTTGCTATCGCACTATTTATAATTATTTTAATACAGTTCCCTAAATAGTCATCCTGATGTATCACCAACTATTGACAGCACACCATTCAAACACCACGGTAACAACGCTGATAACGAACCTGATAAAAAATGATCTTATCAGATAAATAGTTCAAAGTCTGTTTGAAATATTATCAAAACACTGAAATGCCCCTTTTTAGCAGTTGCCCACATATCATTTGGATGTTATGAAGTAATGAACCACATGATATCTTCCTTGTCGACCCGGCCATTGTCGTCGACTACAGGAGCGTGTAAGCATCCTCGTTCCGCCAATAGTCCCCCTGCACCAACTCGTTGAGCTCAGCTGTACAGTCACATATAATTGTAAAGTTGACCTGAGTAAAAGCTCCGCGCCGGAATTCATTTAGAATCAAAACGACAAAACCCTTTCCATATTCATAAGAAATATCTGCCCAAAGCAGAGTCGATTTTCCGATTCCGACCGCATCATGAGCATGTGTTTATGAATCACCATCAAATAGTGATGAAACAGGTGTTCGCGAAAACGTGTTTCAGTTACGTGTTTCATGATCATGTACAAGCATTATATAACATGAACATTTTTGTGACCGAGTTACGATCATACCTGCCCAAACGGCCTTGCACAATTGTAACCTGATCCTGCTATAACATTGCAAAGGTTTTAAACGAATTCATTGCAAAGCTATACCCGTACAACCTACGACCTCGAAGGTTTGAATGGCCATGGCTTAAGTTAAACCACCCGTTAAAAACTTATTGCTTACTAAATGTTACATACATTGTACACAGAACACTGAGCGGGTTTTATTGGCACAGAGAGACACACCAGGGTGCAGCTAAAGGTCTTCAAAATTCCAGGCATATCTTCCTTCTTGTTACATCCAAATGATGATATGAGCTCCACCGTCTGCTGTTACGTTCTCAAAGAATCGGAAACCTGAGATGACTACTGTATGATAAAATCTTTTAATGTATCGGGTAACAAGAATTCCTCTCACGTGTCGAAACCTTTGTGGCCTTCAAGTAGAGCTTCCTGCTTGTCTCTATAAGTCGACCAAGAACATGTTCGACCTATCCGTGGTCGACGCATCCGTGGACAATATAGTTTACATTAACCGTGTTTAAAAGTGACAGACAGACCGCCTCCGTGGTCTAGTGGTAGAGTGTCCGCCCGGAGAGCGGAAGGTCCGGGGTTCGATCCCCGACCGCGTCGCACCAAAAGACATTAAAAGATGGTACTTGTTGTTACCCTGTCTGGCGCTCGGTATTAAGAGACTAAAACAAGGACTGGTCGGCTCGGAGTCAGTATACTGTGTCTGAGTGGGGTATTCATGTTAAACTGCGGCATGGTATCTCAGTGAGCTAGTACTATAAATCGGCATCAGTCCGGACTAGTACAA